CCCATTCAACTAGTCTGCCAAATTAAACCTTCCTGCCATTTGTGCTGTGCTTTGTGTAAAGAGGGTAAATCCCAGTGAATTTATCAGCTCCCATTATGGTCCCTGAGGATGCACATGGGTTAATGACATGGGAAGGTCAGCTGACTTCCTGCACAAAGAGCCATAATTTAAGGTTTGGGGAATATAATTAATGGGACACCTATGAGTCTATATATTAATACATGAAATAATAACAGGATAACAAAAAAAAATCACAAGCAAAACCACAGCAAAAATTTTTGTTTTCATCATATTTAAAAACAGAGTACAGCCGTGATGTCATGTTTTTATTGAGGCACCTCTTAATTACATTTTTGCATTCAATCCTACTACCGGTAGGTTTAAATGAGTTAATTCTCCTGAAATTAAGCCAAATCCTCTTTTTTTTTTTTTTTTACATTAAAGCTTAAGTCATAGATAATAAAATTATAAAAGTCATCATGCAGAAGAAAGGTTGAAATGGTTAATTTTTTAATTAAATTGTAAAAATTGAAACAATTTCAGTTGCTTTTATTTGCTAATAACAAAAATCTTGCATATATTAATGTAAAAGGTTAATTTGAAATATTGTATTCTGTATTGATGTTTACATGGTGCAAATTTACCTCTGCAATACATCTAATTTAGTCACCTAGAAATAATATTTACAGATCCTGCTCCACTACAGAAAATACTCCAGATGATTTGCTTATTGAGCCACATCCATTGCTCCTGCTTTATCTTCCTCTCTAACATACAGGCAAACACCAATCTGCAGCTGATTCTCCAGTTAAGACAGCGTTTGGGTCCCAGAGGAAACAATTACACCAAGCCAGACAGCAGAAGCAGGCAGGAGCTGACAAAAAAAGCTTTTATGACTCAGACTGAAGTGGAGCATGCTTTGAAAAAAACTGCTCTTTCTAAGCAAGGACTCCCCCTGGTGGCCACGGGTCAAATTGGACTAAAACAGACTCCAAAAATCACCTACATAAAATGTTTTAAAAGAGCTAAAGTCATGTTCCTCTATGCCTTTGGAAATCTAATAAATAAAAACAATATTTATTTCAACCCAGCGAGGAATAAAAAACTAATTATGACCAATAAAGGTGAAAACTACTCAAAAAATGAACTTTCACTGCTGCATATTTTTAATTCTTTCCTGCAGACATATAAAAAATCCCAGGAAATAAATTCTAAATGTCTAAGATAATTGTTGTGAGGTTATTTATTAAGAGTATTTATATAATATTTAATGGGATTAACTAACGTTGAGCTGCATTGCAGGGTTAGAGAGTGAAACATGGGTTTTAAATGACACTAAAAACATATTTTAATGACGCTAACAAGCTTTCCCACAGCATGACACTGACACCACCATGTTCCACCATCTCACAGTTAGTTTTCCTCCAAACAAACAGTAGATAATTGCACTCTAGCCAAAAGGATAAAGTGATATTTCCCTGAGAGCAGCCTTTCCCACCTGATTGGAGGATATCTCCAAGATCTTGTCTGCTTCTAGGATCCAAGCTTTCCTTGTTTTGCCTGTCAGTTTAGTTGACAACCATGATTTTTGTAGATTTTCAGTCACATTATACTCTCTGCCTCCTCAAATGATGGACGGAACAGATTTCTTTTGGATAGATTTGATTTAGACATCATTTATTTGGAGTCAAATGTTTATCTTTTCCCAGCTTTCTTTGAGAACCACAAAAAGTGAAAGGAAAAAAAACCAAAAAACACTACACCTTCTGTTTATATTTGAGCCACATCCCAGCCCACTCCTCCCCAAAACCCCTTTACTGTAAGTGCCTCCTCCCTTCTCCATCTATCCCCCCCCAAACCCCCTCCCCCATGTGCTCGTTGCCATGGAAGCTGATTGGAAGAATCGCTCTGTCTCTCCTGCACAAGAGGACAAGCCAGACTCCAAGACCTGGAAAAAAGATTTAGCCGTCTGAAATGAAACCAGCACACGTACAACATCTCTCAGTTGTGTTATGATTGTTTAAACAGTATGAATATATAAATTAATTTTAATAAAATGATAACAGCAAACACATGGTCCTTGGAGGCAGATGCAACATAACAAGAACCCCTTCAGCTTATTAAAAGTCCAAATTTTCCTAATTTTAACTAACCTTACCTCTTATTATCAGTATTTTTTTAAAATCAGTGATGCTCCCACATTATTTTGTTTTGAAAAGATGTTTTCATAAGACCGCTCTCTCTGAGAGTTTACTTCCTTTGACCTCGGGTACATTCAGAGGGAAAAAAAACACACTAAGAGGGAAAAAAAAATAGTGTTTTCCTAACATACAAACTCAAGGCTGCAACATTTTAATGAGAGAACGGAAAATTCAGGGTCTAGCATTGCTATGGCAACAATATGTGTGGGTTGTTTGGTTAATCATACCATTTTCATTGACAATGTTGCCCATGTGGATGTTAGTCATATAAAGCAGGGATGTCAGATTGTTTAAAATAGTTAATGGTCCAACAGGAGAGCTTTTACAAGAACCAGGATTTTATTTAAAAAAATAAAAATAACTTTCTTGTTGATTACATTCCTGGTTTCTAAATTAATTGGTACATTTGTATTAAATAAGCAAGGGAAAAGTCCAGTTCTTGCTATCTTGTCCTGGATCTGTCTAAACGATCAAGATTACACCTTTAGAATCATGCAGAAACTGTGCGACGTAGAGATTTCTGTTCTGTTAGTGAAGGATTTTACCAGTTTTTCCTTCTAATAAATGTTCTATTGATATGCTGAAATGCCAGTGACGTTTTGTAGAACATGGTGATGGAGGTATCATGCTATGGGGATGGTCATCTTCCTTTATTTCTTGGGTTTGTATCTACTAGCTTTGGACATTTTTTTTTTTAACCTTCCCTGGAAATCAACAAGTTCAGAATATTAATTCTTAAGTTTTTCCAAATTGAATTCATATTTGGACTTTGATCAATTCGACACAATTACTGCATATTATTTGACCCAAAACATTCTGTTATACTATGTTTAGGGTTGTCCATCTCATGCTAATGTCTTCTTTCTTTTAAGATGTCTTTTGTACAAAATGAACTACAGATATCGGGAGGGAATTAACAGATAGATCTACTTCTGATCGACACTTAATGTTGGGAAATGCAGCAATAATATGTTTCATCTTGCTGCTCTAACTATCTTCTGTTTAACCGTCTCTCAGTAGCTAGAATGTTAGACATAAACCTGTATATATTCTGTGGCTAATGTAATTTTTACAGAAAATTAACCCTTAGCTTCATCTTTGGAGACAAAAATATATTTTTTATGTCTAAAATCAATACATCAATAACTTTTTTCTTCTTCTATGATTTCCATTGTTACCTTCATTCTTCACCATACATCACAGACCCCCATTTTCAGAAGATTTAGCTCCTTAGACACCAGTTAGAGATGAAAAAAGGATTATCCTTTCCAATCATATGTATGCAAACTGCAGCAAAATGTGTAATTGATTAATCCCAAATTATACAGCCTGGAAATTTAGAGCTCAAATAATTTCCATAAATTTTTTGACAAAAATGAAAAGATTACATCAAAGTGTCACAGAAGCATCAGTTTGAAAAGATCCCAGCAAAAATATCTAAAAGTTGATGAGCTCTGAAGTCTTAGCGGTTGGAAAGCCTCATTGCCATCACCCTCATTTTTTAGCCCAAGCCTTAATTAGATCGCATAAAAAAACATTTTTTTAAATTACGATTACGTATAATTGTCAAATGCAAACCTTTTTTTCATCCTATTTATTAAAAAAAACCATCATGAAAGAAAATCAATAAAACTATAGAAATTTAAATACGCTAAAGGAAACAAAATCAAAATGGTAGTGCATTACAAGAGTGAAAAACTACTTAACCTTGCAAAATTTGATCTAATAAAAGTAAAATACCCTAACAGCAGGGGCGGAGCTAGATGGGGGGCCAGGGGAGGCCATGGCCACCCTTAGCCAATCATTGGCCACCCCTACCATTTTTTCCCTCTAATACAGACAGTGGCAGCAGTAATACCCTCAAGTGGAATATTCATTTTAAATTTTCATATATTACTGACTATTTTTCATGTGTTCATAATATCTTGGTTAATTATGCACATCAATATAGCAACATTAAAAATGATAAATACAGAATTCCTGCTCTTTTCAGAACTAGATTTTGTGTTATATGGGGTAAAGAGAAAATTACGTGTCTCTTGAAATAATCAAGGAGTGTTCTGTGAAATCATAGATAACTATTTTAATAAAAACATATTTAAAACAATGAATTTATGTAGATGTTAGTACCTGTAAATATGCAGAACGATTATTGATAAAAGTAGGTAAGTAATGACAATGGAAAAGATGTTTGCCCTAGAACTCAAACCTGAAAGAATTTTATCTACTTTACCTTTTATCTAGAAAGAACAGATGTTTAAATATATGCATCTATTTGTTAGCAAAGGCTGCAGCAAAGTATCGTTAGTCTTATCTTTGGATTGACCCTGAGATTCTGGTGCCTATCCTCTTTCGGCCACCCCTCAGTGTTCATTGGTTATTGCCTGGACGCCCTTATAAAAATGTTCTGGCTACGCCTCTGCCTAACTGTCCTGCAGTGTAAAGGTAACCTTTTATGATATTTGTTTTTATAAATTCATGCTCATTTATAGAGGAAAAGTCATTTATTTGTTCTACTTGTTTAGTCTTTTTCCTTAAATTCTACAGTAATTCTGGATTGAGGCTATTTTCACAGCAACGAATGACTTCCTCCAGATATAACCTGTTCCCTCTGGTGTCTTTAGACAAATTAAGCCCATCACATTTGCATTCTCAATACCATTTCTATTATTTCCCCACCTTGTCCCCCCAACACATCCACGCTCCTTCATTGTATGATCTGGTACAGCTTGCTTCACCTCTGTCAGGCTCCAGCGCTTCCAGCCGGCAGCAGCACCGAGCTAACAAGTCTTTGTGAGGAGAGAGGGAGAGGAATAGAGGAAGGAGGGGTTGCAGAGCAGAAGAGATCAGACAGCGAGGGAGCTGCCAGGGTGAGCACAGAATGAGGGTGCAGTGGAAGCAGGCATAAGACACAGCGACACAGGCAACACAATAGTGCAGAACGCCGCTGGAAACAGAAGAAGGTAGAGCAGGCATCATGGCAGCGCTCACTGCATCATCTTGGCACATGGGGAATTGTGGCTGCTGCTGGTGAATATAGTGTGGTGCAGAGGAGAGAGTGGAGAGGACCTCCTGGAAACCAGAAGCAAGAGAAGGAAACAGGTCAGTAAGGATGATCAGACTAAGACCTGACAGCGTTAACCAGCACGGCCTCTGAGGGGTTCACTTACGTCACATGGTGGCACTGACTTACATTTGTCAATGAGAAATCTCATGTGTTTGGGATGAGGACATGAATGGTTGTGCATGAGGAAGTAACTGCGCTCACTCCACAAGGGATTTCTCTCTAAACCAGAATGAGGGTAGATCATTTAAAGGTAGATTGCCCATTTTCTCTGCTAATATACAAAACAGTATCGAGGTATTTATTTTTCATCCCTTAGAAAATGAACAGAAGATAGAGGCAATTGTGTAACACTGTAGGGGGCGAGACAAAAGCCGGTCCGAGAGGAAAAGCTTGGCTCATCATTCAGCCCTGCTGCATGTGATGTAATCTTCAACCAGACTGGTTTTATTCTCCTAAATAAGTTAGTCTGGTTTTAAATAAAATGCACAAAATCTTAACAAGTTACCTTTTTTTACATTTTTAAAATTTTACCAGCAACTGATATTTCAGTGCGCATCAATGAATGACAGGTTTTCCAAATCTAAATATGATTTTTGCATCTTTGAAATAATTTATTTTCTCTTTGAAAGGGATTACAAAATTGGGCAAGGTCATCCAAGAACACTGGCAATTAAAACATACAAAATATCTGTTCATGAAAGACCTATCTGTAAAATTAGCAATAGTAAATCAATGTTTACTACTGACTAGGACCGGAACATGCACAGTGTTACTTAAGTTAAATGTCAATTTGTAAGAAAACAGAACAAAACATCATACTTCAATGTACTTTAGTGGGATTTAATGAGATAGACGAATAAAAAGTACCAACTAATTTGGATGTGGAGGGAAATAAATCATGTTTTTTAAATAATTTTGCAGGGGTGAGCTTATATTCAAACCCTTTTATTCTGATAGTTATAAATAAAAAGGTAACGAGTGCATTCAAGACCCATCTGATACAAGATATGTGAAAGCATGATGAAACTAAAATGTAATGTTTACGGTTCTAGATGTGGAAAAATCAAGTGTGAAGCAAAGAAGTGGCAGCATCATGCTGTGGATTAATAAGGTCAGAGATGATGGAGACATGAATGGAGCTACTGTAATGACTCAGATCAGAGGGACCCTGTATTCAAGACCAGACAGACAGTGGGATAACCCGAAAAGTGTTTATTTAAAAGCCAGATTTGCGGGTCTGCAGTAGCAGCGGCTAGCGCATCTAAGGCAGGAATCTCTACAGAAAGGAAACACAGGTGAGTGACCACGATAATCTGACATGGATGATTATGTACACGTGAGTCACTAACCTGGTTTTTATAGTTCGGACCATGCTCAGAGAACAAGCATGATTCTAGCCGGTCGGCTAACAAGACGCAGCAGAAACTGCCAGAGTTCCAGACGCTGAAGCCTTGAAGAAAACAGACCTGACAGGAGATCAGATCCAAGTAGATCCAAGTGGATGATGTAGGAAGGCAGGATAATCTAGGTTCACATAGCAAACCTTAGCAAAAAGTAGTTTATTCAAGTATACTAAAAGTGCACTAATTTCATACTTAAAATCAGGTAGTGCACTTAGAGTTTACTTATTCTATAATATATTTCATATACTTAAAATTGTATAGTCAAGTGTACTTGACTATACTATTGTTTACTTTATTGTTTACTAAAGTATACTTTAAGTATACTTTAGTAAACTTAAAAATGTCACAATTTAGTTCAAAGAAGTATTACTTTAGTAATACTTCAAGTACATTGTTCGGTATACTTTCTAAACTTATAATTATACTTAAGTATTCTTAATATAATTTACTTCAAGTATACTACTTTCCTGTCCAAACTATTTCAAAATCTCACCCCAAGGTTTAGTGAAAAGTTGGCAGCCCTGATAAAGTATTTTAAATCTGTAGTTACTTCAGATGTTTTATATACTTGATAAACTTTATATGTATAAATAAATATTCATTGAACTCTCTGTTGTATGGTAATATTTGGGGTGGCAGGCTGACATTTTTGAGAACCGCTGTATTAAATGAGACAGCAACAGTTTAGCATTTGCTAAAAACAACAAAAACAGGTGTCAGTGTTAGCATGTGGATTGTTGTATCACAAAAACCCCAACTGTTAAAATATCAGAACAACATTTTGACTAGATAAATCTACCTATTAGGCTCTTTTTAACTTCATTACCACAGCAACCATATCTTTAGCGGCTAAATGCTATGCTAGCTTGTTGCTAGTTTATTGTTGTTGCTGATCTGGTAGATTTTAAAGACTAAAAAAGCAGCTCTGTGAGAATGATTAAGATTGTATTTATGTGAATCTATTGAAACAAAAATAAATAAAATAAAAACATAAAAAGAGAGAATATTAGTTTGTTACTGCTGGAAACAACAAGCTAGCTAGCTAATTATCTGCATCCCTGGTCCCCAGGGCCCTCTGTCCTAAATGGTTTAAATGTTTCCTGCCTCCACACACCTAAACTAAAGTAAAGGTGATTAACAGGCTTTGGCAGCATTTGATGGCTGCCTAGGAGGTAATGCCATCATCGGAATCACGTTAGCGTGAGTAGAGAAACATCTAAAACATGAACGACCGTGAGTCCTGAGGAGCAGGGTTAAGAAACCCTGATCTAGATACATAGATACAGAGAACACATTTGTTTAGGATTGCATTAGCCTGTTCTAGTTAAACAGTTCAACTGAAACATCATTAGTTCAACTTTTTTATTTTCTTTAGTTCAACTGTTTTTAATATTCTTTTTTGTTTCTGTATTTTTTATTTTATATTTTTTTTCCTACTTTGATTCTGTTTTATTTTCCTATATTTTAATCATGTAAAGCACTTTGCATTGTCTTTGTACTGAATTGTGCTATACAAATAAATTTGCCTTGCCTTGCCTTGCCTTGCCTTGCCATTTGAATTACAAAAAAATAAGTTGGTCTTTCTGTATGTGTTCCATGTAAATGTGTCTACACACAGGTGTGACCAGCGGGACGTCCTGCAGGATGAGCGGGATCCTGAAGAGAAAGCTTGAGGAGGAACCCTCCTCTTATTTGTCGCTGCAGGGTTCAGAAGACGATGAGGTTTCCTGCAGCGACAGCGGCAACAGCAGCGATAGTCTGAATAATTCGGTCCCCTCTGGAATCCTGGATTGTAAGATCTCACTAACAAACTTTCTTTCTTTAAATGATCTGACTAGAAACGTTTTCACAACTTAGGAAGCAAAGAGGAATAGTTTTAACGACACGGGACAGCTGAGGAGTAGAGCAGAATTAGGAAATGGAAGGAAAATGATACACAAGTTTAAAAAGTGGATTTAGATTAATCTTATTTACAAATATTTTCCATCCCTTCTCACTACTTTATGCTAAAATTCAATCTGAAAAACTCAAATTTATTGATACAATTACTTGGTCTTTGGTGCTCAGACCTCGGCAGGAAACATAGCACTTAATTTTGATAGAACAGGAACAAAAAATAGGGCTGTTCCCCCCCCAGGAGTGAAACTGGTGGTGGAGTGGAGATAGATGAAGTCGGCCAGTCTGTAGACTGCTGGTTAGAGAGACGGTCTGCTGAGCTTTATGGGGAGATCCAGTGGACTGCGTGAGCTGATACTAGAGCTTCACTCAGGGACCTGGAAGATGGAAGTCCAGTTTGGAAAACACAAGTTCAGAGAACCTGTCCATGATGAGCAAGCATGAAGCAACAGTGGAGAGAAAAAACTCCCCGTTGCGAAGAAATATTTGGCAGAACCAGGCTCAACATGGCTTCTGCCAGACCAGTTGAAATGAGACGCATAATGCAGAAAGAGTGCAGGAGGAATTAAAATCTGGTAAAGTTTTAGCTACAATGGAGGAGGAGGGGCTGGAGGTGGATTGATGTACGATGCACCCTCAATAGTAGTGACCATCCATGGTCACTAGACATTTTGTTGTCACGGTGACCCACTGTCGTCTATGGCTGTCGCTACCCGACAGATGACAGAGATGGTATAGACACCGTCCGGGGGGAGGCGGAGACACGTGACCCATGGGGACGAAAAGTAGTGATCATCTGTTGGAACAGTCAGTCAACTGAGTTCGCTATCAAGTCCACTATATAGTCCTCGCCAGGCTCGGACTGGGAACAGTTTTTGGCCCAGACATTTTTCCACCTATACCGGCCCACTTGGGAAACATCGCAACCTGGCAACAATCCACGTAAGACGGGAAACGTTAGATGCAAAACCCCATCATGCACTTCAACATATTTTTGCAAAATATTTGAACATAAATTCGCCAAATATAAGAGGAACATCGTAGTTTGGTTTAAAGAAAGTATTTTAGTTTTATTATAATTTAGTTTGTTGCAAGGATTTTACAGTTTGAAGAAATAGAAAATTACACCATATGCCAACCGTCACAAGGATGTGCATGACAAGGAAGGGCTATATATACTGCATGCATCATTTAGGTAGTTAACATTGGATTACTTCTTGAACTCCTTGACTTATTTACTGTAGCATCTCCCCTAAATGATGGTCAAAACTTGACTGATGGTTTTCCTGTCTATTGGAATGTCAGTAATCCTTTTAAAAGTCCAACATAAGAGCTAGGCAGAGCAAAGAAGAAAAAATATATTACAGTACTGGCTGATACTACGTAAAATTAGCACCTTATACGTAAGCTACGGAGACTTAATAACAAACAGAAAAAACTTCTTTACAAGCATTTAAAAACCCAAGAACACATATTAAACATGTCTTATCACATAAGCACTAACCTTGTGACAAGTCCTGCAAATAAAACTTAATATTTTAACCCTCTCAGGCTCAAATTAAGTTGTAGTTGCAGGAAAAATCTGATATTTGAAGAAAATGATCATATAGGGTAGTAAGATACAATTCAGACTTTTTTTTTGAGCGAGAGCCCTTCACATGCAATGGATTCTGGGATGTTGCAGATTTGCAACAGTGGCCCGGAGTGGTAAATTGACACTGAAGACTGAATCTGATATGAACGTTAACTTTATTAGAATGTCACAAACAAAAAATTAAAAAAACAAAATAAAAAATAATTTTCTCACAAAATTAGAGACTTTTTCTCAAACTTCTCCAAACCTTTTGAGAAGGCCGTTTCTGTTAAACTGTTGCTCAAAATATAGGCAAACTAGAAGATAAAGCATGTAGCATCCATTGGTACCTGTTAGGGCACACGTTGC